AGAATCCTTGTGGGCACCCACCGTCTGCACTTGAAGTGCCAGAGTGGGGAATTAGCCTTGACCTGGTGGCAGAGCGGTGGGATCATTTTGAACCAGAGGCACAGACCTCAGGATTTTAAAAGGACACATTTTTCCTTTTGGCAGCCTGCAAAGCCAGGAAGTTTTTTTTCTACTTTCATTTCTTTGCTGCCTGAAGGGGAACAGGCACACAAAGGGTTCAGCCTGCAAAGCCAGGAAGTCCAACAAGCAGTTTATTTTTTTCCCCTAGCTTCGGGGCAATGAAATAGCTAGGCTAGAGTAGGGCAGCCCTGTGCATGAGGTTGCGGTCTGGCACCGAAACCCTAGAGCAACCAGTCTTCCCAAAGCGTAACGCCATGAAGAAGGCAGACCCAGATCAAGCCCAGACATCCAGCTCCATGACAGAAATGCAGGGAGGGAATGGGGGACCGGAGATTTCCCGGGAGGGTCAGCCCACCCCAATTCAAGATCCAGGTGCCAAGATGTAGGGATGCCCTTAACCCAGACCGAGTTCTAACTGCGGAAGACAAGAATTTCTTCCTACAGATGAAGTGCTTGGAAGTGGAGGCGAAGCGCTTGGAGGCAGAGACAGAGCTGAAGCGCTTCATGCTGGGAAGGGCTAAGTTGGGTCAGCAAGGTAGCCCTAACTGTCCTTCTCCAGGTACTGCTCCCCATTCCAAGAAATTCCCCACATACAAGGTAGGCGGTGATACAGAGGCCTTCTTAGAAAATTTTGAAAAGGCCTGCCTTGGGTACAACATCCCTCCAGACCAGTATATGGTGGAGCTGAGGCCACAACTCAGTGGATCCTTAGCAGAGGTGGCAGCATGTGAAGGCCAACTGCCCCAAGAGCACCAGCCGACTGCAACTCATCACCCTGGGATCCCACCAAGAGTCTTCAGGCCCAGATGTCTCGCAAATACCCCCAGAGCGAAGGGAAACTGTGAGTGTGGGCGGGAGGAAGATTACAGGGTGGAGAGACCCTGGAGCACAGGTGTCAGCTATCCACCAATCCCTGGTGGACTGCAAATTCATCAACCTAGAGGCCCAAGTGACAGTGCAACCCTTTAAGGCCAACTCTTTTAACTTGCCTATAGCCAAGTTGCCTGTCCAGTACAAGGGCTGGTCAGTAATATGGACTTTTGCAGTCTATGACAATTATCCCATTCCCATGCTGCTGGGAGAAGACTTAGCCAACCATGTGAGGCTAACAAAAAAGGTGGGGATGGTCACCCGCAGCCAGACTAAACAGGCCTCCGCACCTAACTTCATTCCTGAGCCTCCTACAAGGGCCCAGTCTGGATCCCCTGATACCCCAGTCCCAGGGACTGAGCCAGAGGTGGTGGAACCAGACCCCAGACCAGAGTCTATGGCAGCGGTTGTAGATTCAGTTCCTGGGACCCAGCCAGAACCAGCCCAAGGATCGGAACTGGCGGAGCAGTCAGCACCAGAGCCCGTGTTTGCAACTCCACCAGAGTTAGGGGAACCAGCACCACAGGGCGCCACAGAGCCTGCACCTGCAGCAGCAGCTAAACCGGCGCAAGAAACTCAACCGGAGCCTGAAATACAACTGGATAGCCCCCACTCTGTTGCTGGACTTCTGCCTGCATTTCTCTTTACTGCTGCAGCTCATTCCTTTGTTGATGTTTTGTTTTTATCAGAGGGTGTTTTTGGCTTTAAATGTAAAGAATGTTAAGTGTATCCCCCCCTCTCTTGCAAAGTTCCCTTGCAAAATTCCCCTGTTAGCTGCTCCTGGTCGCTAGCTCCTCTGGTCGCTTCAATCTGATGAAATTCAGTAAAGCCAAGTACAAAGTACTGCACTCAAGGAGGAAAAATCAAATGCACAGCCGCAAAATGGGGAATAACTGGCTAGGCAATACTCCTGAAAAAGATCTGGAGATTATAGTGGATCACATATTGCGTGAGGGTCAGTAATGTGATGCAGTTGCGCAAAAAGGATAATATTCTGGCATGTATTAACAGAAGTGTCGTATATAAGACAGGAGAGGTAATTTTCCTGCTTTCCCCGGCACAGATGAGGTCTCTGTTGGAGTGTTGTTTCCAGTTCACTTTTAGGAAAGATGTGGAAAGAGTCCAGAGAAGAGCAACAACAATTATGCAGTATGCTGCTGCTGTTTCTGAAAGACTGTTGAACTTGTTATCAGAAAACTGGACAATTTACATGCACGGCTTGATGGTTCTGAGTTAAAAGATTTCTTAAGTATGTATATAAATGTGGAAATTAAAGAAATATGAGCAATGTACTTTGTGTGTGTATGGTTTGTATTATCAATGGGTAATTAAATTGGTTCGGGATCCTTCAAGATGCAGTGTCATATAATGCAAGATCCTTTCCAGAAAATAAATATTAACAGGTAGTGGAAGAAGCTGCCAAGGGAAGCTGTAGAAAGTTTATCACTGAATGAATTTAGTGCCAAGACTATATACTTATTCATTTTTTTATTATGCCTTATAGGCGTAATGAAATCAGTCCTGCCATGTTGCATGACAGTGAACTAGATCTCTAACTTAAGAAGTTCCTTTCAATCAAAATGATTCTAATATCATGAAGTAATTGAATCTGCTACTTTCGCTTAATAACAATAAAGCCCTAAAGCATCTTCAATACTTTTATATTTAAGTAGTTGATGAATATTGTGTTAACATTTGCCTGTATGAAATCTTTGGTTTTATATCAACATCAAGCTGAGTCACTTACTCTTCTTAAGGGTTGCATAATAATGTAATCATGGTCAGTAAGAGATGTTAAATGGAATTCATAGATTTTTAAATCCAGAAGGGACCATTGTGATCATCTAGTCAGACCAACTGTATAGAACAGGCCATAGAACTTCCCAAAAATAATTCCTAAAGCATATCTTGATTTCACCAAGTTGGAAAAGTTTTTTATTTTTTTTTATTTAAATATCGATGTAAATTGGTGCTTTCTTGCTTGCTTTGGTATTTTGGGAAATCTGAATGAGCAGAAGCAAAATCTCAATATATATATTTTCAATAATATTACTTGATACAATGTATCTTTAGGAGTTTTCCAATTTAGATCACTTTTGCCATTTTGAATAGGCTAATAATTTTAATATGGCACCCAAAAGCGTGAAAGACCCTTCAAAAATATAAGATAACTCTCTGTTCCAAAGAATACTAGATTAAAATATGTATTTTCTAGGGCTGTTGATTAATCGTGGTTAACTCAAAAAAATTAATCACGATGAATCACAGTTTTAATTGCACTTTTAAACAATAGAATACCAATTGAAATTTATTAAATATTTTGAATGTTTTTCTGCATTTTCATATATATTGTGTTGTGTTGTAATTGAAATCAAAGTATATATTATTTTTGATTATAAATATTTGCACTGTAAAAATGATAAATAGTATTTTTCAATTCACCTCATACAAGTACAGTAGTACAATCTTTGTTTTGAAAGTGCAACTTACAAATGTAGGGGTGTTTTTGTTATATAACTGCACTCAAAAACAAAATGATGCAAAACTTCAGAGCCTCCAAGTCCACTCAGTCCTACTTCTTGTTCAGCCAATTGCTAAGACAAACAAGTTTGTTTACAGTTACAAGAGAATGCTGCCTTCTTCTTATTTATAGTGTGACCAGAAAGTGAGAACAGGCATTTGCATGGCACTTTTGTAGTCAGCATTGCAAGGTATATACATGCCAGATATGCTAAACATTCGTATGCCCCTTCATGCTTTGGCCACCATTCCAGAGGACATACTTCCATGCTGATGACACCCGTTTAAAAAAAAAAAAAGCGTTAATTACATTTGTGACTGAACTCCTTGAGGGAGAATTGTATGTCCCCTGCTCTATTTTGCCTACATTCTGCCATATATTTCATGTTATAGCAGTCTCGGATGATGACCCAGCACATGCTGTTCATTTTAAGAACACTTTCACTGCAGATTTGAAAAATCGCAAAGATTGGTACCAATGTGAGATTTCTAAAGATAGCTACAGCACTTGACCCAAGGTTTAAGAATCTGAAGTCCCTTCCAAAATCTGAGAGAGACCAGATGAGGAGCATGCTTTCAAAAGTCTTAAAAGAGCAATACTCCAATATGGAAACTACAGAACCCGAACCACCAAAAAAGAAAATCAACCTTCTGCTAGTGGCATCTGACTCAGATAATGAAAATGAACATGCGTCAGTCCGCACTGCTTTGGATTGTTATCAAGCAGAACCCGTCATGAGCATGGACGCGTGTCCCCTGGAATGGTGGTTGAAGTATGAAGGGACATATGAATCTTTAGTGCATTTGGCACATAAATATCTTGCGACACCGGCTTCAACAGTGCCATGAGAACGCCTGTCCTCACTTTCAGGTGACATTCTAAACAGGAAGCGGCAGCATTATCTCCTGCAAATGTAAACAAACTTGTTTGTCTGAGCGATTGGCTGAACAAGAAGTAGAACTGAGTAGACTTGTAGGCTCTGAAGTTTTACAGTGTTTTGGTTTTGAGTGCAGTTATATAAGACAAAAACCCCTACATTTGTAAGTTGCACTTTCATGATAAAGAGATTGCACTACAGTACTTGTATTAGGTTAATTGAAAAATATGATTTCTTTTGTTTATCATTTTTACAGTGCAAATACTTGTAATCAAAAATAAATATAAAGTGAGCACTGTACACTTTATATTTTGTGTTGTAATTGAAATCAATACATTTGAAAATGTAGAAAACATCCAAAATATTTAAATGGTATTCTATTGTTTAACAGTGCGATTAATCGTGTGTAAGTTTAATAATTGCTTGACAGTAATATTTTCTTTTTTGCAGATTTTGCCTGTTACTTTGTATTCACCTGTTGTTTGACTAGATTTGACAAGAACAGATCAAAATCTTTCACTTGATGAAGAAAATAAACTTTGTTTGCAGTATGTTGGTTTTGTACTAGGAGAATTGGTAGCATTAACACTGTTTTAACTTTTTTGTCTGTAGAATGATTGAGGAGAGCGGGAAGAGGAGAAGGACAATGGCAGAGAAGAGACAGCTATTCATGGAAATGAGTAAGTCACAGTGTGGCAGATAAATCATCATTAATGTATTTGTAACAGGGTGGCTTATTGCTGGAGTGTGTGGGGCTGGCCAACCCTGATTACTGAAGAGGCATGCCTATGTTGGATAAGGTAATTCCCTATAAAGGGCAGAAGATGGCTGCAGTGAAGAGGGAAGATTAGGCAACTGCAGGAAGTAAGAGAGTCTTCTGCAGGGAAGACCCTAATATGCAGGGGTTTTGGAAGTTGCCAGGGTGTGGCTGCCAGAAGGATGTCAGACTGGGGCAGAGGAAGAGTGCCATGTGGACCATGAGGATTGCTTGAACCGCTTCTGTTATTAAACCAGCCCTGTGTGGGGATGCAGTTAGCCACATGAAATGCTGCATTGAGTTCTTAAGGGGCCTGCAAGAGTGGGGTTAACAGAGGTGGAGTGCCTACAAAATATGTGGCCACAAGGATGTACTCAGTAAATAGTAACTCCACTACAGCGGTTTTTAAAGAAACTACAACAATGTAACCATACCTTTTTTCACTCCAAAGAGAGAGTGGATTTATGGAACACGAGACATTTATAATTTCAGTACTTGCAACCTTAGTGTTAGCAGTTTCTAAGGGAAACACTCAAGTCAGGAAACTCAGCCAGAGTTAAAGTTCTTATGTATCCCTAGTTCTTCCTCCTTTTTACACATGTTTATGGTATTCTTTAATTTACACGATCACCTACTATTTTCTTTGAGTGCTTGCTCATGTCCATTTCATATTAGTTGTGTGTGCTTGCCACATGCACCGGTGCCGGAAGTTTTTCCCTCCACAGTATCCGTAGGGCACTGGCTCTGGCACCCCCTGGAGCGGTGCATACATGCCGCGGTATAAGGGGTGCCGCCGGCTCCCCCCACTTCCCCCCAGTTCCTTCTTGCCACCAGTGACGGTGCTGGAACATCTGCTGCTTCGGCTAGCGTTGTCTCGTTCTCTGTTCGTATGAACTCTGTAGCACTTGTAGTATAGTTGTAGGTAGTTGTTGTTACAGTTAGTTACCCTTAGTAGTAGTTCTTGAAGTTCTTGTAGTCCCGAATGGGACTCAGCCGGGGAACGGGGCATGCCCCGGTCCCAGGCTTTAAGCCCTGCAATCGTTGCAAATAGCCTATGCCCATCAGTGATTGACATACCAGCTGCCGAAGGTGCTTAGGCGAGTAGCACATAAGCGACAAGTATTGTATCTGCAAGTCCTTCAAATCTAGGACAAAGAAGGAGCGTGATATCCTAATGGAGTCCCCACTCACTCTGGTACTGGAACAGCAGTCCAACTCTGCACCAAGCACCGTGGCCTCCGTGTGCAGTGCTCCGCGGGCGCTGTCCATGAGCCGGCACCAGTCTCCCTCCACAGCTCTGGTCAAGAAGCTGAAAAAGACTGGTGAGTTCCGTGTAACCTTTCAAGGGAAAGGAGAGGGCTGGGGGCGAGCCAAGACCTGGGCTGGGCAGTTCAACGCCTCCTTCGGGAAGTCAAGCCCCAGCTCAAGTCGAGTGGTGCAGCCCATCCCATACTTCGCCTGTGACTCCAGATAGCGGTGCAGGCCCTGGCCAGCTTCAGGTGCCGTTAATGCCCGAAGCCCTTCAAACAGCTCAGGAGATCCTGACGCTCCCGATGCCATCCACACTGGTTCCAGTGATACCCCGGTCTCAGGGAAAACCTGTGTTGGGACCTATGCGTCTGTCCCTGACTCAGCAGCATGGTTCCTCCTCGAGAGGGACGTCCTGCCATTGCTCGACCGCCTGAAGCCATCACGCCTCAGGACTAGAGAGGCAGGCTCAGCGGAGTCCTCTTCGGTCCCTGCACCGGGGGTACCAATCGAGGGACTCGAGGCATTCCTCGTTGGTGGATTGGCACAGATCCTCTGAGGCACATGCCACTTGGCAAGAACTCCGACTGTCTCCAACGGCTCGGGCCCGATCGGAGATCAGAGACTGCTGACTGCCGGGCCGTCATTGCCCATCTCCAAGAAGGACATCACTCTACTTTAGGAAGATCCACCAACCAGCCCATAGTAGCTCCCGGTCCCGTTTTACGTCCCGTTACTGGTTGAGTAGCGTGAGGTGTGGATCGCTGGGTGTCCGCCGCAGATCTGCCGAACGCCATCAGTCCCTGAGACCCCGACCAAGATGCCCATTTTTCTCAAATAGATCGGCTTCTTGACGCAGCAACTGGTACCAGTCAGATGAGCTACTGCTCTGCCCAATCCTGGTCTCCCGGTACTTATACCAGCATGGAGCGAGGTTCCCTGACTGTGGGACAAATCCCGGTACCTGAGGTACTGCCTACATCATCAGCACCGAATTCTGTCCTGTGGCCCCAAGCGCAGTGGCTGGTGCCATGGTACCTGTGGAACCCTTGGGGTTCACCCAACCTTCCCAGGCTGCCCGATCAGTGTCAGGAGCCTCGGAGGCCAGCAGTCTCGATATCACGTTCCCCTCCAGTGCTTGAGGCTTCCAGGGGTAAGACCCCATAGGTGCAGGAGGACCCAGGGGAGCAAGCTGCTGGACCACCAATAGACATGGAGGTTCCTGTGGCATTGGCATCATCCTCAGCCTCGTTTGGTGATGACATCACAGGGCACCCTCACCCAGTTTCTCAGGATGAAGCCAAAGTGCACCAGGAACTTTTGAAGAGGGTCACTTCCAATTCCTCTGCCTGAAGCCCCAGGTTAGAAGAGCCCTCGGACTCTCTATTTGACGGCCTCCGTTCCTCGGCTCCTGCCAGGGTGGCTCTATCCCCTCATAAAGGGGTGTTCAAAATCACTAATGCCCTGTGACAGACCCCCTCTTCCCTGGCCCCATCTCTAAAAGGGCCGAATGCAAGTACTTTGTGCCAACCAAGGGGCATGAGTACTTATACTCCCACCCAGCCCCTAATTCCCTTGTGATTGAGGTGGTTAACCACAAGGAAAGGCAAGAACAACCTGCCTACCCCCTGCCCCCCCCTCCCCAAAATAAAGACTTGTGGAGACTGGATCTCTTTGGATGTAAGGTTTATTAGTCTTCCAGCCTTCAGCTGAGAGTGGCCAACCACCAAACCCTCCTTGGCTGATATGACTTCAATATGTGGCAAAACATGGCCAAGTTCAAAGAGTTGCTCCCTGAGGCTTCCAAGGAGTTCCGAGCGATCCTTGATGAGGGCACGACCGTGGTGGCCCTCCAGGCGGCGTCGGACGCTGCTGCTACTGCCCGCACCATGGCTTCCACTATCTCCATGCGGCGAGCCTCCTGGCTGCTCCTCTCTGGATTGTCCACCTAGGCCCAGCAGTCAATGCAGGACTTGCCCTTTGACGAATGAGCCCTATTTGCAGAGCAAACGGACAGCAAGTTGCGTGGCCTCAAGGCCTTTTGCACCACCCTGAAAACCCTGGGTCTCTACGTCCCAGCCCCGCTGCATAAGCAATTCAAACCGCAGCAGCCTCAGGGCCAGGGGAGCCAGCCTTAGCAGGGCCAGCCCCACAAACAAGCCAAGGGCTACAAGCACCGCCCAAGCCACTTGCCTCCGCCCTCTGCCCAGTAACGAGCAAGGGGCCAAATGGTTGTTTTGAGGGTGCACCCGTGGGCGACCTACCAGACTATTCCCCGGATCCATCTTTCCCAGTTTTCTCCAACCACCTTCCCCTTTTCCTCCCTGCTTGGACAGCTATAACTTCGGACTGCCGGGGGGCGCGTCCCGGGAAGGAGCCACAGCCGCGAGCGGGAGGGAGAGGCACGGGGCTCCCTGGCAGCAGCAGGGATTCGGCCCATGCCCCTGCCCGCTCCGCGCTGCCCCCGACCGGACCCACCGCGCTGCCCCACGTGCTGCAGGGCTGGAGCAGCTTCCAGGCTGCGCTCCCGGCCCCAGATGCAGCATCCCGGGCAGAAGCCCTCTGGTGCGGCGGGGGGGCTCACAGCTGAGCCCCCCATCTCCCTCCCTTGCCAGCCCCCCTTTGCCCGCCCGGTGCCCAGGTGCTGGAGCTGACTCACCAGCTCCAGGATCCAGGCCCCGCCGCCGCCACCCCCTCCCTCCAGGCTTGCGCCGCCATGCTGCAAGCCTGGGAGGGAGGAGGAATGCTGTGTGGTTGGGGAAGAGGCGGGGCTAGGGCGGGGATTTGGGGAGGGAGCCAATGGGGGAAGGAGGGGCGGAGCCAGGGCGGGGGGGGGGGGCGTGAGCGCCAGAGCGGAGGGCAAAATTTCTTTTTTGTCCAGTGTCCCAACCAAACATTGGTCGGGACGCGGGACAAAGAAGCAAATATCGGGACAGTCCCGATAAAATCGGGACGTCTGGTCACCCTAGATAGAAATACAATTCTGTCCTGATAATCATAACAGCCCAATAGCACCTTATTTCCATGTGACTAGTTTGGAATGTGAGGATGTGACCGTTCACTTCCCAGCTTAGGGCTGCCTCTGCTGCTTCGCCAAAGGCCTTAGCCTAAGAACCAGGCCTCAGACTGTCCTTTACACAGACAGAGAGTGATTTTGATTCTCTCTTTTATACCTCTATAACTATCTGAGTAATAAAAATACACCTCAATTCTTAAAGTATAGGCCTTTACAGACAGGCCTGAATATCTGTATCCTAACAGCTTGGTGTGAATCTAATTCTAATGGCTCTTTGAAGATGTCAGTATGGATCTCATCATAGGTATGCCTGTCCTTCAGGAATGTCCGTGGGGGTTGTGCATGTGCCCTTTGCTTTCTTGAGACTCTGTACAAGGGCATAAAGGGCTGAAGGCTCCCACAGTATCTTGGATCTCAGGAAACTCAACAAGTTCATATGCACTCAAAAGTTCTAAATGGTGACGCTGGGCATGATACTTCCAGCGCTGCAAAAGGGGGACTGGTTTTCAGTCCTCAACTTCCAAGATGACCTCCAATATTTTCATATTACTATACACCCAGTTCACAGGAAATTCCTACATTTCACATTAGGACACAAACACTTGCAGTAAAGAGTACTACCTTTTGGCCTATCTACCACACCCAGAGTTTTCTCCATA